AAAACCTACTCCTTATAGTTGTGTTGATCTCATCAACCTCCTCATTATTCTCAGGAGCCAAGAGGTTTATAAACAAAGAATTAGTGGCTTTGCTTTGTGGAACTATTAGCAGTGTGCCTATTAGCATCCAATTATATAAACCTGCTTCATTATATCAGTATCAAACTGGCTCTGGAACAGAATACAGGAGTGATTAGAGATACGTTTCAAATACAGCTCACGTTCTTTCCTCAAGAAATGGCTCCTTGTTTTAATGAGATGAATGGGCTGCCCAGCTGCTAACATACGTGAGAGGAGTTGGGGTGTAAGATAGGATGGTGTGCAACGCGAAGCTAATTCCATATTCCTGAGAAAACAGAGGCAACAATTGTTTCCTAGTGTAGTCTGTGTACCTGGCACTGTGGTAGGCTCTGAGAATACGACAGTAAATAAGACACGACCCCCGTCCTCAAGGAGCTTTAGTGTAGGTGGAGCTGAATTGGGCTCCACATTACAATCATCTGGGACACTTTTTTCGAAAATACCAGTGTCTAGGATTTACCCAAACTAGTTAAAACCAAATCTCTAGAGGCAGGGCCAAGGAATCTGTATTTTTTTTTAAAGTTCTCAATGGTGACTCTAAAGTACAACCAGAATAGAACACTTCTTCTGTTTGGTAGGAAAGAAAAACAAGTAAAAAGGTCATTACAGTACAAGTACAGTACACTACAGTACAAGTGACTGTACAAGTACAGTACATAATAAGTACCATGTTTGAAGTAATAAGCGAAAGCCCCCAACCCAGCTTTCACCACTCAGACAAGTTCTCCCAGATGAGTCCTGCTGAGTCCTGCAGAACAGTGTTGACATATAAAGAAGGGGAAGGACACTACAGAGGAAGAGAATGTGTAAAAGCCTCAGAGGGAAAGAGAACAGTGCTCAGGAGTTTGGACTTGATCCCAGACTTTACCCTGAGGGCATTAGGGATCCACCGAGGGTCCTAAACCCAAGAGTGATGGAATTAGGTTTGCATTTTAGAAAGATCACTCTGGCTGCTACCATGGAAAGGTCAAAACTGGAGGTGAGTGCTCATACTGGACAGTGTTGCAGTAATTCAGGTAACAGATGATGTGGTCTGAACTAGGAAAGTGGAAGTGAGGATAGAGAATGGTAGAGAGTTTTGTCCTAAAGTCTGCTGGTTGAGGGGTCAAGGGAGAGGGAAAAGTTGATGATGACTCCTGCATCAATTAGAGTTCTTGGTCGCTAACAGTAGATTTCATTCTGGCTGGTTTAACCAAAAACTGATTTCCTAAAGGATAGCAAGTAACTCACAGAACTATGGGGATGGCTGGAGAAACATTCAAGGCTACGCCGAGGAACAGTGCCCAAAACATGCCACAAAACTGTCCAGATCAGGAATCTGTCACTGGTCTTCTCTAAATGGTTCCAGTTGCTGCTGCTGCTGCTGCCGCTGAGCCCAAAATACCAGCCACTTGCTTTTGCTGCAATTGCTACCGCCAGCACGGCACTTCTGCATCAGGTCTTAAACCCTCCTGTGCCTGGAAGCTCTGCCAACACCGACTCTGGAAAATGGCCGCCCTGCGCAGAGCCTGTTTTCACATTGCTCTCTTTCAAAGTTAACCTTGCAGGAGGGCATCTAATTGGCAAGCCTGCAGCCTAGCTGCAAAGGAGGCTGGGGAGCTGAGTTCTGATTTCTACATGAGAAGGAAAGGGGTACTCCTAATGTAAGAATTTCCCCAAATATAAAAGCTATTCAAAAGATGATGATGTCCATTCAGTTTAACCTAAAAAGCTTTTCTGAGCGACTAGCTTCAGGAAGAGAAGCAAAATTGCATTGTGCTCAAGAGGGACTGGGAGGTGAGAAGCCAGAGGCTCTGAGAGCAGCAACTCTTTTAAATTTAGAGAATTAAGGAGTAATTCCCCCT